GGGTACAAATTTTTCGTCTTTTTTTCACTATATAAATATCACATATTAACGAAGGTTTTCAATCCTCCTCTCGTGAAAATCACCGAATAAAAAAAGAAAAGAAATAAATTGTGCAGGCGGAGAGCAAGAGGGAGAGAGAAGGGAGAAAACAAACGAGCGAAATACAATAAATCCTGTTCTATCTCTCTCTGCTCTTTGAATATCCCTGTTCTGTCGTTGTTGATTGAGCAATTTCCCAAGGGCGCAGTCTTTTGATCCACACACCAGACAAGAGGCTATTTCACCGGTTGGTCGTTTGTAAAATTTTTCTCCCTTTTTATAATTATTATTATTTATTTTTTCTGTGATCTTTGGCTTTCCTTTTGTATTGATGCAATTGAATTTAAATTTTATAATTCGATAATTTTGCAGAGCGAATTACTTGGATTGAAGATGGTTTTCTGGGTGTTTGGCTATGGGTCACTTGTGTGGAACCCAGGCTTCGAGGTCGACGAGAAAGTGATTGGGTTTATTAAGGACTACAGGCGTGTCTTTGATTTGGGTGTGTGATTTTATACAATCTGATCTTGCTTTTGTGCATTTCCATTTTTTTTTTCTGAAAATTAGGGTTATCACTAACATCCTGATTTGTCATTTTGCTTACGTGTGGTTTGATTTGGTTGCATTTCAGCGTGCATTGACCACCGTGGCACGCCTGTTCTCCCTGCTAGAACTTGCACCTTGGAAGAACATGAAGGATCTGTCTGCGTAAGTTGATAACTTTTAGACCTAAATCATGCCTTTGGGGTTAAATGATTGTATTTGGGGAAATCTGAATGAAAAAAAAGTCTAAGTTGTCGATAACTTTGTTCAAACAATCTGAATTGATGTTGTATTAGGCATATGAATTAAATTCTGAATATCATCTTTCAATATTTTTTTAGTGGGGTGCCGCTTATTGCGTGCGTGGAGGGCCAGAGAAAGAGAAAGCAGCCATGGCGTATCTCGAGAGACGAGAGTGTGAATATGACCAGAAAACTTTGGTAGACTTTTACAAAGTGAGTTATAAATCATCTTTTACTGAGCAGATAAGATTCTCCCAAGATTTTGAGTTCAGCTTGTGAAAGATTGTTCATCTGTCAATTGTTCTGCAGGAAGGTGATTCGGAAGAGCCCTTTGTGACTGGTGTGATTGTATTCACGTCCACACCCGACAAAATTTCAAACAAGTATTATTTGGGTCCAGCACCTTTAGAGGACATGGCCACGCAAATTGCAACAGCGTTTGGTCCTTGTGGCAATAACAGGGACTACCTGTTCTTGCTAGAGAAGGCCTTGTTTGATATTGGTAAAATATTCTTGCTTTTGATTTTCAGTTTGTTTCGTTCTTCATGTTCAGTTTTGAAAGATTTTTTATAAAATCTTTTTTGAATGTATCAACAGGTCATGAAGATGACTATGTTATCGAGCTTGCGAATGAGGTGAGGAAGGTGCTAGGAATAGTCAAAAGTGGTGTTGCCATTGGGAAAAGGCTCTTGTGGTCTTCTTCAGCTGAAATGCGGGTTAAGTCGAGCTTGTCACCAATCAAGTTGAGGTCCTTACCTGAAGCAATTGCCATGGATTCTTCTTAGTATCTGATAACATTTGAAATAGTTTTTCTTTTCATCATCACTAATGTAGCCATTGGTTGGTTAGATTTAGCCCGTTTAGCCATTTCTTCTTCTTCACGCACCCTCTCTATCTGTTTCTTTCTTTTTCCTTTTTTTTTTTTTTTTTTTTAAACACAAAATAAAGAAAAATTAAGATGAGAGAAATTTTTATTTTTGTTATAAAACTAAAGAAAAAGAGAGAGAGTAGAGAAAATGTATTCTCTTAGGTGTGTTTTTCATTATAACTGAAACTCCTATTTATAGGAAACTCCTGATGGCACAATTTGTAATAATACAAATACATCGAGGATAAAATAGTCATTCACATACATTATTTTATTATTTCATAATAATTTTTGGTTTNGGACTTGTGTTTCTGTCTTCCTTTCAGCATTTATTGAAATTCTTTTTCTTGACCCGGAGCTAATCTAATATAACATGTGTTAAAATATTTTTTTTCTAATATAAATTGAGAGTCGAAAAATAAAAACCAGGCTAGAGTCCACTCTGACTCTAGCTTTTGGGTTAGGAGTCACTCAAGAATTTTAGATCTTAGACTAGACTGCCTTAATTCTTTTATATTATTTTTGTTGTGGCAATAGGAACAGAAAAGATCTTCCGCAAATCCGTCACCTTCCACAAAGTTTTACTGTAAAAAGTGATCTGTTGTGGTGTAAATCCAAAATTTTTAAAAATGCCAAACCGGGACAGAACAGAAAGACACATGTACCACATGCCAAACATGTCAGATGCACTCTTAAGCCTTGTAATATATTTCACGGGCAAGCTTTTACTTGTGCATATTAGAAAATCTAAAATGAATCTTAGATACACTGGATATTTGCACAACACTTGACACAAGTTCTATTCTTCACCCAAAATTAATGTTATTTGAAATAATTAATAATTAAACTTTCTTGAAGATTGAAAAGCCACAAATTTGAGTTTGCTAGTGGTGATACTTCTGGCCTTTTAGGATGGTCCAAGCTCTGCAAATCAAGTCATAAAGAGTTTAAGAAAACCAATTAAATTAAAAGAGTAACTGATGAAGATTGATTGATTAACTATTTACCTGTAGAGCTGCTCAGACAACACAACCAGGGCAACTTCATGGTTCAAGACCAAAGACGACAACCGAATTGAAACATCAGCTCTTTGTCTCAATTGTTTTCCATGGCCATAAGCTCCACCAATACAAAACAATATGCTTGAAGCTCCCTATTAAAAGCTACATAAATTTCATCCACCGAAAAAATTGAAAAAACAAAAATCATATTTCCTCAGGGATGGCCTGGCCGAATATAGTGAGTTCTTAGGTAAAAGGGTCTGAAGTTCGAATTCAGACGTTACTTAGTACGTTGTTCACATTCTTCATGGTTTGAGCATTTCTTATTGCCTGGAGATGAAATTCACAATATTTCTATACTTGGCACAAAAGGACAAGTGAAGAAAAAAAGTTAGTCTTACTGTGTTCCCAGCATCCCCAATTAATGAAGCCATTTGCTCAGAATTAATACCGACTCCGCGCTCGTCCAGCATCACAACCTTGGATTCGCAAAAGGAAAGGAAATTAGAACTGTAAAATGAGATTAACATTATCTATTTACAAAGAAGAGGTTTTGATGTGCTTTATCAAGATACAAACAATAGAAAGAAAACACCAATAACTGGTTTTACACTATTTATCCATGCAAACAATAGGACACAGGTTAAGCTCTGAGGCTCACCTCTTTCCCTATATCTTATTTTTCTTCAACACGATAGTATGAGGGAGAAGGAAATATATACATTGAATTGGGGTAGCCTCGTTTAAAACTTGTCATTTAATCTTAAAATATAAAACAGTAGACAAAACATGAAAAATCATTAAAAAACAAGAACTGGTATAGGCGTTTAGTGAGATGTACCCATTCATTTTGCTTGATAAGGCTCATCACAGCCGTATCTTCGTGTTCGATACGAGCCATCACATCCCTATGACAGGACAAGAATACCAATTATAAGCACCAAAATGTATGCTTTTTAAGATCCCATAAATTAAGACATAACCTTCGAACAGCCTCAGCACACCACAAGCCATCATTAGTGCGATCAGAGCTTATAACAAGAGAAAAAATTCAGAATTAAGGTTTCTGCTTTCATGACCATAAACATGGGATGATATTGTTAATAAGCTAGAAATTCCAATCAACTAGAAACACAAGAAATCTCGAATAGACTCATCCAAGACCAAAAAAAGAACCAGAGGACGGCCACTAACTAGACCTCTAATATAAGTACTGAAATTACAACTAATCTACACAACATAAAGTAGTATCAACTTAATTCAGGGCTTGCTTTGTATATATAGTGATTAGCAATAAGATGAATGCAAATACAATACTTCATCCTGTAATCCATCAAATTCCATGCATCATCTTTCAGAAAAGCACAAGTCGTAAAAATGCTATCATGCATTATTCTACATTCTACATTCTCATGACTTAGAATAAATTTGACATAACCAGTTTCAGATACACACCGAGCATTTCTTGGGTTCGACTTTAGTCGAATATCTTCAACGGGACAATAAAGCTTGAGCTTATTGACATACTCATCGACTATGAGCTGAACCCCTGTAGACCTCTGCTTTCCCACAGTCAGAAGTCGAATTGGAAGCGCCCTCTGAAACCAAATCAAGGGCTCATTTTTAGAAACAAAAAATTACGAACAAAGATGGAAACTGAAGATTACATCCTGAAATCAGGATTATTTATTTTTTCCTCGAAAAACTCGAAACAGATTCAAGTACGAGAACTAACCACTGATTGGCCGGCGTACTTGCATTCGTTACCTGAAGCATGTAGATTCAAATGGGAATGCAAAATAATAAATTGTAGAAAAGCGTGGAACAAAAAAAAGGTAAATTGTTTGCAGTGAAGAGCATAAACCTGGAGAAGGGGTATAGTGGGTCGTGTTACTGGCGAGGAGAGTAAAAGCCATAGCTAATCGAGGAACGTGAAGATAAAAATGCAAACTTTACGTTTACATCCCGGTTATTTGCCGTAATTGCACATCTGACCCTGAAGAACGTTTTCTCATCTTTTGCCTAAAGTCGCGGGAGCTCATATTGTATGTCGCGTGTTTCTAGAAATTCGCCAAAAAGAAGCTTCGGGAAACCTTTGCTGGATTATATATTGAAAAGGTTCTTTTCTCTGGTTATTGAATTCATTTCTTCTCAGATTTCATCTTGTCCCCCCTACCAGGTATCTGGCGATTTTTCCTCATCTTGTTTTTCATTTTTGTCTGCTTTTTATTCCTGTGCATCGAGATTTTTCTTCATATTTTTCTTGTAATAATTGCTCTGTGCGTTTGATGATTTTCTGCAACTCCCCCCAACACACATCTAAATGTTTCATTAGTTTAGGATGTTCTTCCGTTTATGTGACTTCTATTTGGGTAAATCAGAAATAGTCAAGTATATTTGTATCCATTCTCAACTGAGTATGTTCACAAGAACAAGCTTTCCTAACAAAGTTAAGATTTTTTTTTTAGCAGTGGATGATCTTTGAAAACGACTATCGATATATTGATTACTGGAAAATGGTCTTACTTTCTTGGGAGTGAAATTAGGAGTAGTGTAATGTTCCTTTTATTTATCGACAATATGCTGAATGACATTGCTAAAACAAGGTGGCCTTTTTTTTTTTCTTTTTTTTTTTTTTTCTTTTTTTTTTTTTTCTCTATTCCGTTGTCTCTCCTGAAGATGGCGCCGTTTGTGCTCTTGTACAGTTAGTTGTTCTTTTTGCAGCTTGATATTAGGGATGATAAGGCTAGCTAATATCTCCAATAGTACTATGTGCAAGCAAAAGATCTTTTGCAAGCAAGCTCTTACCTAGTTCGGATCGTTGATACTTTTGTTTTTTTAGCAAATCAAATAAGCATAAGTAGAAACATAGGCGATTACCTTTCTTTTTCTTCTTCCCATTCTATTGCTGTGCTCAGAAATGATTGGTATAAGAGTGGCATTGTATGTTTAATTATAAGAGTGGCATAGGGTCACGTCCTCAAATATGAAATATTTGAATGCTAAGATTGTAGAGTTGTTGTTTTGGTGTATTTGGGTGTAGTTTGGTTTATGAACAGATGATGAATTGTTTATCTGTTGACAGATTGAAGATATTGTCTTTTGAAAGATATTGGTAAACTGCTGTGCCGAGAAGACAAATGCAATGCTTCCATACTCTTCAAGAGTCAATCATGAACAAGAAAGAGCAATAAAATTGAATAGGGGATAACATTTTAATTTCTTAGGTGGTACATAGTTTCTATAATCAAGATGAGATATAAACATAAGCGATGGGGAAGACATAAATAGGATGAGATATTTACAAATTTAGTGGTGCTGAAGATTTTTGTTGATTTCTTGGATACTAGACCACTCTTCTCTCATATGAAGATCTAATAGTTGTTTTTCATCTAAACCATTAGCCTCTAAACCATAAGTTATCTATATAAAACAAAAATAGACATCTTTGTTTTAAGAGTTAGAATGCTAAAACCACTGTTACATCCACCTAAAATGACCAACTACTCTTGCTTTCTTCATCCACAATCGCATGGGCGATTGACAATAGTCGCTTATTCGCAGTAAAACACTTTTCTTGTGTACGATCCACGCAAATGTGTGTCATCGATGCTAACAATCGGCGACATCGATGGAAGGTTTGAATGCCAGGACCAAACGTCCAGAATACAAAATTGAATTCTCTGTCTCGAGATTGATGAACCATTTCCCCACCCTGCAATTTCCACGTGGGATTTGCTTTTTGAAGCGCTGCAAAAAAACTGCACATTACAAAACGTAATCATAAAAAAATAAACATAGTGACAAACAACACATATATTTGTAATTAATTTTTGCTTACTGAGGGAGTTTTGCGAAGTTCGATTCTCAACTGCTATACACACGATCGATGACTTTTTTCCTTTCATGTCATGCCTTCTTATAGCTGACATCAACTTTCCAACACTTTTTCACATTTGCCTGGATCAGGCTAACATTGTAGTCTAGTTGCTTTTCAATCTTATTCATTGCCAGATTTGAAATCATACTGGCGGTTATATTTTTGTGGTCATTTTTTCTCGAGCGGTTGCATACAACTGTGTCTATCAGTCCATTCCGTTAATTTCCACATTTCATGAACTTGTTTGCACTTAGGCACCCGAGCCCTCCACAGACAAGGTTCATCTTCATTAGATCTGCACAACACTTTGAATGACTTTTTATTAGAATCTTTTGTCCGAACCGTCCTCAACTTATCAATGTTCCAAGCCAAGATATCCATTTGTGCTTCTTCCTTGCTTTCAAAAATTGTACCCAAACTTATAGTCTCAATGTTTCCATTCTAAAGTGGAATAGCAAACTCGTCCTCATCTATCTTCGACGGCTGCCATTCACTCATCTCGCAATATATGTGGCGACCACCACTAGGAAAGCGGTGTTCTTCTTCAATCAATTCGGGTTCACTCTCCTTATTTATCGATCTATCTGATTCGCTTTCTGAGGTCTCATCTGTGAAATCATCTTCACCAGGAATGAAATCTTCATCACTTTCTTCCACGTTCTCATTTTCCCATTCTCTCATTATTGAACTTGTCCCTTCTATAAAATTACATACATGCGAAGTCGACGTACCCTCAACATCAACCACTCCCCCGTAACAAGGTGTAACCTGTATAATTGCCTCTAACGCTACATGGGAATACACAATGGACATAAGAGGAAAGTAATAAATCTACTAAAGAGCACTATCGTTATTGAGTCTTCCGGCATTCCACGAACCATCGTGTTGTCTAACCATTAAAGTAATCTCCTCAATTATCTAACCTTCTCGAAACCCACCACTTTCATAAATCATCTCTACCAATTGTTCATATGATATCTTTCCCCCAATAAGAAATGAACCATCCGGATGTTCTTTAAATAAAACAAAATCACATAACAAATTCTTGGGAAAGTTCCAATACAAATTAACAAAGTATAGATCGCTATATGCCATTTATACCTGTTGCAAAAAACACTTTCAATTCTTCCCAATTAAAACAACACATAATGTCTAATCCAACACCCAAAAAATTCAAGTATTCTTTTATCATTTTAAATTTAAAACCCATTTCCAACAACATATAATTAATGATTTTTTACTCCAATGAAAAAAAAAATATTGCCAACCAAAAAAATTATTTCCAATTAATACTACAACTAAAAAGAATATTGCCAATTTTTTTTATCAAATAATCCTCCGAAACCCTAATACCCACAATCCAATAATAACATGGAATTCATCCATATTTCGGATAAATTTTCAACATACACCAAAAATTTTCAACATACACCAATAAGAAATGTTGATTTTTTTTCAACATTCACCCATTTTTCCTTACGGGTTTTTGGTGTATGTTGAAAATTTATCCGAAATATGGATGAATTCTATGTTATTGTTGGATTATGGATATTAGGGTTTTGGAGGATTATTTGATAAAAGAATTGACAATATTTTTTTGTTGTAGTATTAATTGGAAATATTTTTTTTTGTTGGCAATATTGTTTTTTGGTTGGAGTAAAAAAATCATTAATTATATGTTGTTGGAAATGTGTTTTAAATTTAGAATGGTAAAAGAATAATTGAATTTTCTTGGTGTTGGATTAGACATTATGTATTGTTGTAATTGGGAAGAATTGAAAGTGTTTTTTTGCAACATGTATAAATGGCGTATAGCGGTCCATACTTTGTTAATTTGTATTGGAATTTTTTCAAGAATGTGTTATATTTAAATAACATCCAGATGGTTCATTTCTTATTGGGGAAAGATATCATATGAACAATTGGTAGAGATGATTTATGAAAGTGGTGGGTTTCGAGAAGGTTAGACAATTGAGGGTTCGTGGAATGTCGGAAGACTCAATAATAATAGTGCTGTTCAGTGGATTTATTACTTTCATCCTATGTCCATTGTGTATGTGAATGTAGCGTTGGAGGCAATTACACAGGTTGAGGATGTTATACCTTGTTACAGGGGAGTGGCTGATGTTGAGGGTACGTCGACTTTGCATGTACGTAATTTTGGAGAAGGGACAAGCTCAACAATAAGAGAATGGGAAAATGAGAACGAGGAAGGAAGTGATAGAAAATTTCATTCCTGGTGAAGATGGTTTCACAGATGAGACCTCAGAAAGCGAATCAAATAGATCGATAAATGATGAGAGTGAACCCGAATTGATCGAAGAAGAACACCCATTTCCTAGTGGTGGTCGCCACATATATCGCGAGATGGGTGAATGACAGCCGTCGAAGATAGAGGAGAACGAGTTTGCTCTTCCACTTTGGAATGGATACATTGAGACTATAGGTTTGGGTTCAATTTTTTAGAGCAAAGAAGAAGCACAAATGGGTATCTTGGCTTAGAACGTTGAGGGGTTGAGGGCGATTCAGACAAAAGATTCTAATAAAAAGTCATTCAAAGTGTTGTGCAGATCTAATGATGATGAACCTTGTCTATGAAGAGCTCGAGTGACTAAATGGTTCATGAAATGTGTGAATGGACTGATAGACTCAGTTGTATGCAACCGGTCGACAAAAATGACCACAAAAATGTAGTTGCTAGTATAATTTCAAATCTGGTAATGAATAAAATTGAAAAACAGCTGGATTACAATGTTAGCCTAATCCAGGCAGATGTGAAAAAGTGTTGTAAAGTTGATGTCAGCTATAAGAAGGCATGACACGGAAGGAAAAAAGTCATCAATCGTGTGTATGGCAGTTGGAAATCGAACTTTGCAGAACTTCCTTAGTAAGCAAAAATTAATACAAATATATTTGTTGTTTGTCACTATGTTTATCTATTTATGATTATGTTTTGTAATGTGCAGGTTTTTTGCCGCGCTTCAAAAAGCGAATCCCACCACAGTTGTACAGTGGGAATGGCAGGGTGAAGAAATGACGCATCAATCTCGAGACAGAGAATTCAAATTTGTATTCTAGGCGTTTGGTCCCGTCATTTACACCTTCCATAGATGTCCGCCGATTATTAGCATTGATGACACACATTTGCGTGGATCGTACGATGGAAAATTGCTAGTGGCCATAGCACAGACTGTGAATAAGCGGCTATTGTCAATCGCCTATGCGATTGTGGATGAAGAAAGTAAGGATAGGTGGTCATTTTTCCTGACAAATATGTGGTTATATGTTGTCTTCGACATAAAGATCTCATTCGACATAAAGATCTGCAAGGATAGTTGGTCATTTTTCCTGACAAATATGTGGTTATATGTTGTCTTCGACATAAAGATCTCATTCGAGCTAAAGATCTGCAAGGATAGTTGGTCATTTCTGCTCGTGATTCTTCAATTTCTCAATCAATGCCCGAAGCCAGTCCAAAAAAGTTCATTCCTTGTTAATTATACATGGTCTTGTCCTCGCACAAGTATCATTTTCTTTGTTCACATGCTTTGCCATCAGGTCCTTCTGTCGCACATGATCCCATTTGTTCTGAAAGCCACTGTTGCTCTCTCATTTGTATAGAATTTCACTAATGGGCTTCTCTTAAAATGCATGATGTGTTAATAGAGGCAAACTAAAGTATCTGTTTGTCTGAAAGCCATTTATCTCTCTTTATTCGCAAATTGATGATGTAAATTAGTGCACATAGGAAGTTTAAGAGATTCTTCAGCCTATGTATTGTTTTCGCATAATGCGATCCTCAATGCTTTCGGCACACAAGGGAAAATTGAGTGCCCTGAGGAGGCACTATTTTTCCAAAAAAATGTTGGCCGATGATGATGTTAGTGTGGTCTTTCGAGCTTGAATTGGGCAACTTTCGTTAGTATTCTCTCTTCTTTTCTGAATGTGGATGATGGCATTGAACTACTTCAAGGGAAGCAACATAGTAAATTCCTGGATACATGATTAGGTGTAAGAAAGAATTGAGCATCAATATTGAGACGACATTGATAGCATTTTGCAGGAGAATGGTCTGTAGAGTGTTTGATGCAATGAGTGTCAAAATAGTCTGTACAGGGAATGCTATGATATGTTCATTAGTTTCAAGTGGCAGCGATAGTCAGGCTGTAGACATGTTGGACATATGAATTGCTTTTCTCTGTTCAGATAAAGTTATTTTGTCGCATTTTATTTGCTTGGGCTCAGACAAAGCTAGTCGACATGGGTTTCGACTTGTTTTGACCCGTGTTGCGTGATTTTTCCACTACACACCGAATGGACCATTACAGATGTGGGGTTGATCTCTTGGGTAGAGCAGGTCTTTTGAGAGAGGCATATGAATATGTGATGAGCATGCTTTTTTAAGGCAATGCCTCTTTCTTGGGTGTACTTCTGGGTGCTTGGAGGATACATGGAGACGTTGACTTATATGTAATTATAGAGCTTTGATGTACATTTTGTACATTTTTTGTTCTTGGTTAGTAAAGTTCTGTTCGAAATTTACAAATTGGTTATTATTTTATATATGAAAATGACTTAGAAACAGAAATAATAACAAACCCAACCATGATCTTTTTAAAAGCTATGAATTTTACATAAGGGATCTTTGAAACCTTCTTCCATGCTTCTAACCTGTATGTGCTTGCAAGCTAAATACAGAAATCCATTATATTGAAAGAAAAACAATTTTCTGTACAAAGCTGATTTTTATTAATCATCAATTTATACTTGTAATACGGTGGGATTAAGAAATCCATATGTGAAAATGTTGTATAGAACTCTCATTGCAGGAAAATATGTCTGCTTATGAAAATGTTGTTGTGGGGAAGCTGAGGCTTAAGGGCAAAGCTTTGAACGTAAAGGATGGTGGCCTCAAGAAGAAAAAGAAGCACAAAGACCGATACTTAATTAGCAGTGATATCGGCCACGATCAATTGACAGGTTGTAGCATGTTTATTTAAAATCAACTCTGCTTCCCATATTTTGTTTTCTACCCTGCTTGTACCCTATCATATACTGACAACCCCTGATTTGGCATTGCCTGAAATGAGAGAATTCATCTTGTTATGTTACAAAGTCAGTTATTTTTCCCTTTCTTTTTCATTGTTTTTCTTGAAGCAACTTGGTCAAAAATCAGTTTATCCTGCAGGTTTCCTTCATTTGTGCATCTGTCAATTTATTTTTTCACTTGTCATATTACTTTTCTAACTTAAGTATGGTTGTGTCGGCTGCTTGTGTACGGTTCTGTAGAGGCCGCAGCTTTGCCCAATTTCTCCATTCTCTCAACACTGTGAGTCCGTCCAAAAGAATATTTAAAATCTCATATTTTTTTTTAAGGGATAAGAACTTTTTCCTTGAACAAATGGCTGTGAACAAGGTTTATAGTGCTTTGAATGTATTTAGTAATCCAGTAATCCTAGCACTCACTATCAAGGCATCATCGAATTACTAAAATATAAACTGTGGTGTTGTGTGAAGTTCTTCTGTATTTACTGATTCTAAAAGTGCTTTATCTGCAGATCCTTGTAATTTGGACAATGGGGCCAATGCACGGTATGAAGGAGTGCATGATGAAGATGACCGTCTGACTCCAGCTGAGAGGCGTTATATGGAAAGTTGGCAGAAAATGGAGCTGCAAAGGCTTGCCAAAGCTGCTAAGAAATCCCACCGTGATAGGATTAATGAATTCAATCAGCATTTGGCTAATCTTACCGAGCACTATGACATTCCTAAAGTAGGGCCTGGCTGATTACTTTGAATTATTGATCTCTCTCTCTCTCTCTCTCTCCTCTTTGTTGTTGTTTTGGTTTCTTCTTTGTTGCTTGTAGATTTTTAAGCAGAGTGGTTGCATCTCAAAACTTTTTTCCAGGATAAATTTCACTATTTCGTTCCATGTTATAAACTTGTTGATACTTGCCGCCTTATACGCACTTGCTTGATTGATCTGATGTGTATTGTGGACTTCTGGTTTGCTTGCAATCAACTGGTTTGATGAATCACCTTGATTAATGAGAAAATTCGCAAAGAAATAAATTATGCCTTAAGGTAAAATGATATTCTGCAGACAAGTAAATTATAATTAGTAGTTGGTGCATGGTAGCGGAGAAGATTAGGAAAGAAAAGTTTTGAAGAAAGCCTTATGAAAAGGAAGCAACATTATATCTATCTATCTATGAAACAAAAGTCCATCAAGAAATGGTTCTCTTTTTATTTACTTTTATTTAATCATTGTTTCCAATTAATACAAAACTAATGATAAAATTGTAATTGAATACAAAAAAATGTATAATAGAAAATACACTTTTAAATGACCAAAATTATTAATAACCATGTGGCACCTGCATATTCCTAGTATATTTTAAAACTCATACTCACGAAGACGAGAACGAGAGAGACGGAGGGAGAAAAAAATAAAGCTCCAAATCAATCACCTACCGTGCTCTTTTAAAATTAAATTTTTAGTTGAATGAGCTACGAATGCAATATAAGAGCATCTCCAATGTTTCACTTTCAACATTAATTAAATTGGAACACATGTCAAATGATGAATGAAATGTAAATCCATGTAATATAAATGTCAAAAGAGAAGACTTTAATTTGAAATGCACATCTCTAATGCATCCCTTTCAAAAGCTTAAAATAAGTTAGATTTTTGATGAGTTGGCTTTCAAACACACTTTGAAAAACTAGAAAGCGGGCTTCACACTTTGGATATTTATTTTCTCCTGTCAGCATAAAAGAGTCCATAACATTATGGATTGGAGAGTAATTTTTGTAATCGCTTTATAACTTGATGATGTGGCTAACATTTTATTAAGTTAACATCTCACATTGGAGATGCTCTAAAATTACCATTCACATTCGGAAAAAATGCAAATTAATTACCTTACCCTCTAAATTAAATTTTAATTGAACGAGCCACAAATGAAACAAAAAATTACCACTCACACATTCGGAAAGAATGTTGGACCAGAAGAAGGCAGACATACAAACACACATGCATATTTCTGCTCATCTGTACACATTGTAAGTTCTGGTACATCTTTTACACGTTGGATCAAAATGCATGGAAATGTGATAATCCAACTTTATGGCTACGCTTTGCATCTTTGGAAGACAAACAGAGAACCTCTAGAGCCCTTTCCAAGTCTGATCTTCTTGTCTATGTATGTGATTTGGAGTTTTACTTCACTCTCCCCTCCATATTTCAACTGCAATCCACCAACCTTTAGTTCAGGTGGCTCAAACACCACTTTGTATCCATTTTTCATCTAGAGGTATCAGTTTACCTGACCATATCAAACAACTACGTATATAAGTTGTCCGTGGCTTTCAATGATGAACTCGTGCGAAATTCCCATGTATTTCGCAAATGTTTTCACCTTTTATTTTTTTTTTTTTCGTGAAAAAGAAATGATGGTGCAATTCCAAATATATATAGGTTGATAGCAAAGGTCTGAATGCAAAAAAATTCAATTTTATTTATAATGAAAATCATAAGACAAAAGTTTTCAATTTAGTCACAAATTTTGATGCTTCATTACGTGAAAGAGGTCCAATAGAAAAGAAGAAAAAGGAATTACCTTTCAAAGAAACCTCTCCATCTAAGAAACCAAGAAGGGAAAACGACACCCGATTTCTCACTATATCTGGGGCTTCAACAGCCTGCATCATTTCCTTTGTTTTGAACACGAGTCGGCCAACTGCACTTCGGTAGCCGCCACCTGGCGATGTGGGATTCGAGCAATACAACACATCCCACTCTGCAATCAAGTTTTAGAAAGACTTGCCACTTTAGGTCAATATGGTCTTTCGGAACAGGACTAGACTTTATTTAAGTACTCTGAATGGGCGCTTTTACCATATCTGTACAAATAGAATAGTAAATGCATGTAATAGGATCTTAACCTCCAAATATAAGAGGGCACTTCACGGGCTCATCAACGCAAAATCTTTGCAACTCTTCTGCCAATTCAGCAACCTTTAGGTGTTCTTCACTTTTTAGTAGAACCCCCCGATCTGTTTGCACAACCTACTAAATAATAAGACCTCAGCTTTTGATGGCCAATTTGGAACTAAGAAGGTACAAAGTAACAAAGGAAATTGACAAACATGTCAGCTGTACAAGCTTATTGTTTCTCACAAGATAATAACTCGATGTAAGTTGTTTTTTAAAATAGTTTCAAAAGAAGATTAAGAGTGCAGCAAAGTTATGAATTCCAGAAATAATTGGCAAAACCAGCAAAAGACTCAGTACATAGGCCAAGATATATGAAACCAATCCAGGCTGCATAAAAACCACCTGCATTTCAAAGAGATGTCTGCCACAATTACAGCTACAGTGTCCAACAATATATCATAAAACCATGGACCTTAACATAAAATAACAACACCCGAAGACATTCTGAGCAGAAAGAAAGTAATTATGGGCTTCAACATACAACAACACATTGGAAATCTTTTGCGCATCCGACTCTGAGGAAGTCCATCAAAGTCAGACAAATATTTGAAATTTTCACTCTTTTTCATGTCCGCTAATTAAAACCCCCACGCGGAGAGAGAAATTGAGAAGCGCAGTACCAACTAAAAATGATCAATAATGAGTCCGGAGAAACTCTTCACAAACGAACACATCTTAGAAATAAGATTCAATGTGCCAAGCAAATTAGCCCCAATTTCTAGTCAAACAACACGCTACCTTGGAGATAATGTCTTCCACCAAATCATCCGGCTTGGTTGGCACCGGAGTCACCGCCGATGCGGAAGCACAGATACGACGGGCGGCGGAGGTTGATCGGCGACGGGGAAGCGAAAGTGTCGGCGGTAATTGCGCCGCCGAGGAAAATGGCGGACGGAATTTAGCGAAAGCATTTGCAGTAGCAGAAGACGACGTGGCCGCGCTAGCCATTTTCACGTTCTGCACCAAGTACAATCTTGTTCATGAGCTAATCGTTTGTAAATTTTCTTTTCTCACGGAAATCTATAGGTAGGACCAAGTGATTTTCGGCTATTGGGCTGGAATATGCCACGTCGGCAGAACAAAACTGCGTTACAACTCCCCTTTATCATCTTCTTGGCGATTGGCGAATATTTTATCATTGATCAAACATGGGATAGAAACACTATTGGGCAATTGGATATGGATTAAACCGGCTGTGATCCAACTTGTCGAGTTAAATTGAAATATTTTGAACAAATTGTTAGTCACCATTTTTCTACTGGTTTGTAAGTTTTCTTTATTTCCAGTTAGTTATGATCGTTAGTATTTTTTTGTTGCTTAAGTCGTGTTTAGGCGTTGTGTTTCTTTAAGTAGTTTTGTTGCGTTTTTCTTGTTAGTGTTTAGTAAGGGACATTGTCGTATTGTTTTGCATGTGAGTGACGTGTATAAGTTGTACGTACACTACATATTGATATAACACTCAGAAATAGCCCAATAGACTGGTCTGAGCCAAGTAGCTCAGTTAGGCTGGACTATAAGAACTCTCGTATATACAGGATTAAGATGCTCAATCAAATAGTTGAACATGAGCTTAAGATACCGACCTACCCGAAAAGACACGACCTGGAGTTGCCGGCTTCTATAAGCCCAATAAAGTACCCGCTTTGGCGAGTCGTCAGGCTTGAAAGAACGTACCCAAAACCGCCAGACAGTTCCGGGTCGGTTCACCAACCTGGAAGTTCGGGACCAGTTCAACCCGGGCCTGGCTGGGTCGGACTGGATCCGGTTTCAGTCCGGGCTGGTTTTTATTTGAAAAAATTGAGAAGGGGGGGGTGGGGGGAGGGTTGAAGTTTAAAGAAATTGGACTTTGGCTTAATTGACATATTATAAGTTTTGAAAAAAAGTTTGGGTAACAAAATGATATTTTAACTTGTAATATGTAAATGAAGTTGCTTACGTATCCTTACCTCGGGAATCAAGTCCTCGCAGTTCTCTGACTATACTTACCTTGATAAAACTAGATGGTAGTCATGATTGAACTAATTGTCCAGTCTTCGTAGCCGTATGCATCATAGTCCTCTACATTTCTAGCGGTTCCACTAGTACTAGCAGTAAAATTGGATGCCTCATCATCTTCGTCATCTTCGACAGTTAGCATAGCCTTTTGTGCTCTCATTTCGGCCTTCTTCCAATCACTCAACAGTATTTGAGCCTCCAGATTTTGTAGCGTCAACCTCGACCGTCGTGCGTCCAGTGTATATCCTCCCTCACTGAATCCTTGTTCAACCGCCACTGTTGATGCTGGGACAACGAAAATCTCTTTGGCCATCAAGCATGAAATTGGTAAAATGGGAGACATCTTTTGCCACCAATCCAAAACGTTGAATTTTTTTGGTAGAATTGATTCAAGAGCAATCGTAAGTATCAAATTCGTCGTGAAGTAGTGATTAAGTTTATTATATCTAGTCTCCTTTGCCCTTTGAATTGTATTGGTAGACTCCGAGATATGTATTATCTGTTTGTTGACTTCATGTTGATTCCTGGAGTTTACCTGAACAAAAGAAAGAAGGGGATATGTGAATCTGAATTATCTAGAGTACCGAGCTACCATTGGTCAGATAACTTAATTGTACGTCTTTAAAATAGTTTTCAAAAATTTTGTTCGTATTTCATTAACAGCTGCTGCGACTACATGAATCAAGTTTCCCCATTGTTTTGTCAGGAAACAACAGTGCTGAAGTATTTCCGGCACAACGGATTCCCCTTATATTCAAAGTGCAACTGGGTCTTCCCCAAACTTGGGGTGTGGTTTGTACCTTTTGTCTTTTCCGGATGATGCACTTACAGAATCTTCTGTCGGTTCTTGCAGCGTGGGGTAATGAAACCTTGGTGATGATTATTAGTATTCTGAACGAATTTCCTAAGAAAAAAGATTGTGTAATCTGTCGAATTTTTTCATGTTTACGATGATTTATGTTTGAATGGTTATTTTGGGAAGAGTGAAAACAAGGATACGAGATGTGAGTTTTGTGTAAGAGTGCAAAATTTTTTATGGGGCAAAATGGAAAATTAAGCAAAAAACGAGTGAAAATAATACCAAAGTAAATGTGATAAAAAAAAAAATCATCAATCAAAAAGAAGACAAATATAGGCAAGTAAACAAATGATAACTTTAGTATGAACAGTAGTGATAAGAAAGCATGGACTATTTAGTGTTATCCCATCAAGTAATGAGACAAAACATGAGATAAATTAATTCTAGTGGTGAAACTCTGCCAGTGTTTAGATTTTGATCAATGCACAGCCACGTGGTACTTGTGCAAGTATGTGAGATCCAACATGAAAAATTTGATGTGCACAAGACGACTTTTATCATTTTGTCACTTTTATAATTTTGAACACCCAACAGACTGATACCAACTTTTAATAACTTAAGCAGAGCTCCTGAGAAAGAAAGTGCTCTGATTCAGGTATAAAATACCCAGACTAGTTTCATTCAATCGTCTCAGATATCACCATCAAAATAAAACCAAAAATCGGAGACGAACACAGACATTATTTTCTTCGCCATTATCATCACTACATGGACTAATACCCGAGCTGGTTATTTCTTCAAGCTCGACCGACAGATATCCAAACTAAATGTTTCGTACAAACCAAGATTAGAAAGTACTTTAACCATCAATGCAAATAGTAAATGTACTACATGACTACCAATATAACATTAAAACTTGCAACAGTTGTCATATTTCTTCTGATCAGACTGTGTAATGTTGTTGAATTGTGTCAATGTCCAGTCCCTTCAGCTTCACAACTGACTCAACATGCCCTTTGAGTGTATGCAGCTCTCTCAGCCTGACAAAAATAAATTGAAGGCATCTTCAATGTTCTTTGCTATACCATTGAGTACATACATAGATGCATTTTTCTTTTTAGCTGGGATAAAAGATATTTTAAACTTCGCTCAATATCCGTAAGACTATTCGAAATATTATAAACTTAATACCAGTGCTACTTTCAAAAAATACTAACTTCATGGAAACAACTGGGCTTTTAGTGTAATTAGGGTAATACTCAGGGTAGTTTTTGTAATTTATCCCGAAACAAGAGAAGGGATTAATTTATTTTTCAATTACCTTGCAACTTCAGCCCGTCGTTTGGCTTGCTCAGCAATCTCGGAAAGCTCTCTGTAGCTGCTTTTCTCAGGAAAGATGTTTGTGGTTTCTGGCGGCTGAAGGCCGTGCAGGGTCCTCTGTGCTGCAGCCCACTGAGCCTCTCTTTCTTCTATTCCATAGTTGGACTTCGTAGTAAAAGCAGTCTGTTGTTTCAAAATCAAAGACAAATATTAATAATCAATAGTTGATCAGAGATTAGGCAAAAAACACAATAAAGAAAAAGACTCGTTTTATTGTTATTACCTTGTTTTCCAAAAGATTGTCCCAAGCTTTCCCACTCAAGACGTATCGAATGCAGAATTTAAGGATGTCGAGTGGTACGTAAGTCACGATGCTATAGAGCCAGATAACGCCAGCCCAACCCCACCCGCACCCATGGATTTTCGCAAAACCCCAATTGGCATAAACGGCTATTAGAGTGGCAACCTGTCATATACATTAAACAGAATAAATATAATTAACAAGACCTGAAAAATGAAATACAAGTAACTTTTTTTAAAAAAAAAAAAAT